TCTGGTGTCATTGCGTGGCCAATCCCAGGTTGTGCGATGAACTGTACAACATAAATATTATAAAGCCATAGATAAAATAAAAAAACCACCCTGTTGGGAAGTCCTATGAAAAATAAAAGACTTCTCCTTTAAAAGTACACATACCTTAAAATTTTCTGGACAACCAAAGTTCTGATAAACTGTCTGTGTTCTTGATACAGTTGCATCCAAACCGGCAATTGGACATCGAGGGTCATCTGCACCTATTATTTTCCAAATTCAAATGCACATTAACTTTATTTGAACAGGCTACAGAGATCTAATTCAATTTTAAAATTAAAAGGGCCCCGAGCTGGGGGAAAAATATGCAATCTTGAACTTGCAGGTGACCCCGAGTTAATTTCTCTAAAAGTTAGAGACCTGCATATTTTACAGCTGAGTTCATTATCTTTAAGGAGACAACCACTTCCAGTTCACTGACATGATGTCAGGGCTCCTAGATGCTCCTAGATGCTTACAAATTGCTGCCTTTTGATAAATTTTTGGTTTTATAAAGTTAAACTTGTTTTCTCACCATTTTTTTTTTTTTTACAGTATTTTAAGTTTTTCTCAGATGTTGAAAGGCATCCGACTTTAATGCTTTTGTAAATATGTCGGGAATTTGATCACTCGAATTTTTTGTTTTTAAAGATGTTCATTAAAAATAGATAACAAAGAAAGAATCTTGGAAGTGAAAGTTATGTTAAAAGAAGCTTAGTTTTCAAAAACCAAAAATAAAAAACTAAACGATTATCAAATAAGACTTCAAGGATTTTTTTGGTTCAAACTGCATAGTCAAATCTTCTAATTTCTCTAAATTTGATATTGGTTTGTAATTATAATCATTCATATAGTATAGGCAGGATATGAACGTTACCATTTAACAACAACAAAGGACGTGGTGCAACAGCTGGAACTGAATAAATCGAGTCAAATTTGGAATCTAAACCAGGAGCAATCCTATTCCAGACCTGAACAAAATAGCAAGAAACAATTATGGAATTCCAACTTCAAATGTGCATAATCTAACAAAAAGCTGGTTATTGAAAGATATGGTAAGTAAACATTCTAACAACATCATTTAGTAATAAGCAGCATAGAAAAATAGGATTGGATTGATCATAATTAATAAATTGTTCAAAACAAAGCACACTATAGATCGGAAGCTATTTGACCGGGAACTTGAGACAACAAACCTTGGTCACCACTTCTTTGTTGATCTCATTCATGCCTAATTCCATTCTTGTTTCTGCAGACAAGATGCAAAGACTGGTCATGAAAGTAATTCATATTTTAAAATTATCAATTACCATTCACCTTACCCTCGAAAACAGGTTTTATACTCTCAACTCGGGCCTGCCACTTATCATTATCTATGGCCCATCGAAAACACTGCAGTCATATCACAAACTATCAGCTGTTCTCCCTATCCTCCTTCCCAAACAGGAATGTACTAACGCAAGATCCAGAGTGTTATCATTTGGGTTAACTACCTGCACGCCAATTATGGGGACAACCACGGCATAGCGTGTGTCGGCAGCAGCAGCAAACCATGCATGCATTCCTGCAATGAAAATGAGAAGAAGTAAGTCTTATACAACAAAAGAAAGGCATGTCCTTGGTTGTTACTTTACTTTTGACTGACCTCCAAGAGATTCGCCGGTAATTCCGATTCTACATGGGTCAATGTCCTCCCTTTTCGTCAGGTAATCTGCCAATTTGATCAAGTCCCATACCTGCAAGTAGTATTACCTATTAGCTCTTTGTAAACCCAAGTCCCTCAATTAGTTTTTATCCTAATCCGTGGTTAACTTGCAGCAAATTTTCATTCATAGTCTCTAACAATTCAGCTACCAAATGAAGTGAGAAGCTACCGTGTCAAATATGAACGGCATGGTATCACCTCTTTTCCATGAAGATACAAGAGCCTGAACCAGATTGAGACATCAGATTAGGATTTAACTTTGCAAAAGAGAAAAGCACTTTGCTGTAGGGACTAGATAAGAGCTAAAATGCCACATTAAAATATCAGGAGTGATTGACAATCTCAAAAGCAGAGAAAATGAATCTCTTCCAAAACCCTAAAATTATATACTAATCCTGGGCAACATTAAGACCTCGTGTCACAGTTTCACCAATGGGTGATAAGCTATTTAGGTAGCGTACATATTTTTGAGTTCTAGAAAACTCATAGATAAAAGGCAGACGAGCTGGGTATATAGAAGCATATAATGACATACATCGCGGTAGGTGGTTTTGTTCTTGGCCCTTTCACCATGGTAACGAGAATCAATGGCAATGGCTGCGTATCCCCTCGATGCATAAGCCTGAAAGAAGCAAGAATATGTTGTATTATCTAGTTTTAACACCTTGGTCCTAACAACAAAAGGCAGGATCAAAAAGAAGCCACTACCTCAAGCAATGGTCTCAACCACTCTTTGCACTTGTTCGTACTGTGCAGAAAAACAATTGCAGGTTTCTTTTGCTGTTTGCTATCCTTCATGCTTATAATCAATATAGGCAACTGCCCTTGCTCCCCTTCCTATAAATGATTAGTGAATAACTTCATTGTTCAAAAATAATTAAAGAAAATGAGAACACATTATATAGGGACTAAAACATCAAGAAATTGTTCTTTTCTAACAGATATATTACTGAAATTTGGCATTGATGAAAAGTTCGTGTCCCATGTATAAGTTAACGTGAAAAGTATAAGAACATAGCTTGCCTCTGTAGCCAGATGAAGATTTTCCTCATGAAGCAAGTCCTTCAAATTGCTAATATCTTCCTTTGGACAAGATTCCATTGCCTTTAAACAGGTAAAATAGATCAACATAGGGTTGGCGACTACTTAAATATAAATGAAAAAACGAACAAACAATACTACTTCGACCTTACTCAAGGCTGGTGGGTTGGCCTCCTGAATCAGAGGATCCTGGATAGGCTTTGAAAGCTTCACATTCGGCGGAACTGAGAAATTAAATTAGCAGACATCATGAATTCAAAATCAAGCTTTTAAAAACTACTTTTTTTTCTGTTCCCAAGATTGATTTGGTTTTTTTGAAAATTCTTTTGAAGAGTAATTAAAACAACAAAACTATAAGTAGTGTGTTCATTGACTTAACATAAAAAAGCAGAAAACAGAAAACGATATAAGTACCTATCAGCTCAGAATCTATTCCTACTTTTGAGTCAAAACGATTACTTGCTCGAAATGAACTTTACTGTTTATCTCCGAATGAAAACTTGCTAATTCTCACGAAAAGGCGAAACATCGTTGAAAAGAGGTAAAACTTAAGAAAAATGGCTTCAGCAAAGCAAATAGACGACGACCATTCAAATCAAGCAAGAATTTCTAAAACAAAACACTCAACACTCAAAACTGAAGCCACCCAGATCAGTCATCAAAAATTTCAAGGTAACTAAATCAGAGAACAGAGAAAATTCAATTTCGCACCTTCTCCAGATCGTCGATGACGCAAAACTCGAAGGAATTCGGCCCGAAACTTGTCGGCGTCAACAAGAGCTTCTTCCATTTGATTATTTTCGATTTCGACAGCGTCTCCTGGCAGAGTCGCATGTACGAGAAATTTAATGGGCATCGGAAAGTCGTCGGTTCCATGGCTTAGGCACGTGAGTGAAGGATAGAGTAGCACGTGGCATTATTACAATAATTATAGCTGGGCATTGCAGTGGACGCGATCCAATCCGGTCCACGCCCTCATCGTCGTCCCGTGAGTCCAAATATCCGACGCAGATTTGCTGCAATATCGGCGAATGGTTCCCATTTCTTATGGATACAATATGGTTGCACACAATTTCACGGTCAACAGGCACTCGCCCAACGCCGCCGACGACCGTCTTGGCTGGATATAAATATAATATCGAATACTTTATCATGCCGGCTTCCATCAGCTGCTTCTGGGCATCTTATTTTAAATCTAAACTTCACTTAATTGAAATATAAGCTTGGAAAAAGGAATCTTGACTTGGGTATCTCTTGTTACACATAGAACAAGGGAATTTGATTAAAGTGGCCGACATACAACGAAAAAGAAAACATTTTTATTATATTAAACAAATAAATTGTAAGTTTTTTAAGGAATTGCATACTTGGCTTCCATCTCGCATTGTCGAGGAACTATAGTGCAAGTACCCTTTCAGGAGTAAAATATTTTGGTATCGTCTTGTTGCCAACATAGACCTTTGGGTTGTTGCATATGCAGGGGGAGAGAGAACAGATGGTTCTGCACAGGAACTCCTTGAGGCAGTGGGCAATAAAGTTGGTCTGGTTGGTATAGGTCCTACACAATTTTTAATTACTCAAACTCAACTGGGGCTTTCAGAATGATCCTCAAAGAATACACAGTTTTGGGTGTTTGAATTAGGTCTTTGATCACGATGCCATAATCAGTGGTGTTCTAAATAAGGCACAAATGGGGTAGTCCTTCTTGGCCACATTAAAAGCATTACTTCACAGATGTTTTACAGTACGAAAATTTTACTCAAAGGGCAGTACAGATTCTGAGTTCTGATATCATGAACTTTTGAGGGATGATATTATTATTACTGAAAAGAAGAAGAAGAAGAGGACAAACCTTCCTTGGGCCAGTCATAGTTTTCTCTAGAGAACGTGTCCAAAACACAATGAGCCTTTGAAAGTTGTATTCTCTCTTTCATTTATTAGTTTTTTTTTTTTTTTTTTGGGGGGGGGGGGG